CGCCTTATTTCAGATGGACCTGGGTTTTTTCCCCTCGTCTCTAAGGGCTCTGCTGTCCCATCGAGCGGTCTTTGCGTGCCGGTTGGACGGGAAGGGATTTTAGGTGCAGGAGGAGGTTAGGGTTCCAACGGAGGGACGTTAGCTGTTCCTATAGCATGTGGGGGTGCTCAGGAGTAACGGACAGCAGAGGGACGCTGATCTTCCTCACTGTAGGAGAACTGCCTTGTTTGCACTGACTTAACGTTTGTTTGCAAAGCTACAAATGTCGTTGTCTTGTTTTTCTCAACAGGGCCTACTTGGATGTCACATTCCAGGTAAACTGTTTGTAAACTCTTACTCCCCATGCCTGTTTCAGTTTGTGGGGTTGGGTTTTGTTTTTCTGTTCCTTTGTTTTCCCTCAACAGCTTTTCTGGGTTTTAAGAAGGTCCTGTGTTCTCTCCTTTCAAGGCACGTTCAGCCCCAGGACAAAAGCCTGAAGAATCCATGCCCTGCCTATTCCCCAAGTAAAGCTGCTACTGTGAAAACCAAGTCTGTGTTACCTGCGAAAGATGACCTGGAGCCGGAGCTGGCCCTAGCAGCCTACAACAGACCTCTGCTCTGCCAGGAAGAAGAGTGCTTAAATATTGATGCTCGAGAAGATGAGCAGCCAATGAAGGAGCCGGAACCTGCAAGCAAAAAGGAGCAGCTGTCAGTAAAAAAGCTGCGAGTTGTACTGTTTGCTTTGTGCTGCAACACTGAACAGGCTGCGGAGCACTTCCGAAATCCTCCGAGGCGGATCAAGCGCTGGCTACGAAGGTTTCAAGCTTTCCAAGAAGAGAACTTGGCGTCTCTGTCAGAGGGCAAGTACCTCAGCTTGGAGGCTGAAGAGAAACTAGCGGAATGGGTCCTCACACAGAGGGAGCAGCAGCTGCCCGTGAACGAGGAGACTCTCTTCCAGAAAGCCACCAAGATTGGCCGATCCCTCGAAGGTGGCTTCAAGATCTCCTACGAGTGGGCGGTGAGGTTCATGCTGCGGCACAACCTCAGCATGCATACGCGAAGGGCGGTGGCTCACCCTCTCCCCAAAGACGTAGAGGACAACGCCAGTTGCTTCATTGAGTTTGTGCAGCGCCAAATCCACACTCAAGACCTGCCTCTCTCCATGATTGCGGCCATTGACGAAATCTCTCTCTTCCTCGATGTGGAGGTGCTGAGCAGCGATGACCGCAAGGAGAATGCTTTGCAGACGGTGGGAACCGGGGAGCCCTGGTGCGACGTCGTCCTCACCATCCTCGCTGACGGAAGTGTTCTCCCAACGCTGGTCTTCTACAGGGGTCACGTACAGCAGCCCGCCAACGTGCCGGAATCTATCCTGTTGGAAGCGAAGGAGAACGGATACAGCGATGATGAAGTCATGGAGTTGTGGTCGTCCCGAGTGTGGCAGAAGCACACGGAGTGCCAGAACAGCAAGGGCATGCTCGTGCTGGATTGCCACCGAACGCACCTCTCGGAAGAAGTACTTTCCTTGCTGAGTGCGTCCAGCACTCTGCCGGCTGTTGTCCCCGCTGGCTGCAGCTCCAAAATCCAACCTCTAGATGTTTGTATAAAAAGGACTGTGAAAAATTTCTTGCATAAAAAGTGGAAAGAGCAAGCCAAGGAAATGGCGGACTCCACATGCGACTCGGACATTCTTCTCCAGCTGGTTTTGTGCTGGCTGGCAGAGGTGCTGGAGGTCATCAGTGACTCTCCTGAACTTGTGCAGCAGTCCTTCCTGGTGGCCAGCGTGCTGCCCGGCCCGGACGGCACGGCCAACTCGCCCACGCGCAACGCCGACATGCAGGAGGAGCTGATCGCCTCCCTGGAGGAGCAGCTGAAGCTGAACGACGAGCAGCCGGAGGCGGCGGCGGCCGAGGGCCAGGATCGGACCCAGGCCGAGGAGTCTGCAGACCCGGAAATCCTCCATCAGCTGTTTGAAGGGGAGAGCGAGACTGAGTCGTTTTATGGCTTTGAAGACGCTGACTTGGATCTGATGGAAATCTGAGCACTGATCTGCGAACCGTGATCCAGAAAGGGTTATTTTTTAAATAAATGTTGGATGAGACCATTACACTTCCCTGTGGATTTGTGGGTTTAGGAAATTCGTAGGCGATCACTCAGATAAATAGCCATTTATGCTGTTCATTTATAAGTTTTGTGCTTTTTTAAAAGAAAAATCACTGTGTTGGTATTTTCTGAAAATATATTGTGGGTGAATATTTTTGCGTTTTCTTTACCTCACTGTATCATAGTTTTCTGTTTTTATTGTGCAGAAATGTTTTGAATTATACATTGTCAATGTGACCATTTCTAAAGAAAGGAAAAAATATGTAGCTAATGAACCAGTATATAAATCTTTTGTTGTCTTAACACAGATTTTTTTTTTAAATTTTTTTTAACACTTGACCCAGAGATTTAGGTTTCTGTGGAAAACTTAGATATGAGTTACTGCTTTAACGTGTGAACCTTCTATAATTGGCCACTAAGATTTGGGTTTGGTTTGGGTTTTTTGGTTTGGGTTTGGTTTTTTTGGTTTTTTTTTTTTTTTTTAAGAGTAATTATTTTGCTTGTGAAGTGGGAGGCGGGGTGAAAACACAAGCGAAAGCATTTTGCCTGTTCAATGCCAGCAATGCTTCTAAAACGCCGCAGCCAGGCTCGGGGTAGCACCGTCCCTGAGCCCTCGGTCCCTGGCAGGGTGCGGTGGTTCCTCTCCTCCCCCCGGCCCCCGCCTCGCTCCGCAGAGCTTCTGACCGCGGGTACGTGGGGAGGAGGAAGGCCGAGGCTGTCCTCATCTTCCTGGGCGCTAGGTGGGAGCCGAGACCGAACGGACCATTAAACATTGACCGTGAACTCCTCGTAGTTGATAAACCTGCTTTAACTGGTGGCATCAGACACTACGTTCCTTAGAATTAGAAATCCGATTTAATGCAACAAACTGTGACGTGCACAAAAAGAAGACGTTTGTTTTTATTTTTCACTGCCAGCTTAAATTTTTCTACAATTTGCATGTTTGAGGGTTTTTTAATTGTATGTATTACGGTATAAACGGAAAGCATTTTGACATACAGAATTTGAAGCACCTGCACCTTTCTGTTTCCATAGAGGTTTTGTGAACCTGCCCTATTACCGAAGGAAAGCAGGAGGCAGCATGTGCAGACCTGTAAATGGTTCATCTTTAAAATGTACATAAGTGGAACATTTAATAAAACCAGGGAAATGGATTTATAAACATGTGTTTTTATTACAAAGAACTATTTAACTCTTGTGGTATCATAATACTTAATATAAAGTGCATCACAGATCGCTCTGTGCCCGAGGCGAGCTGGGGCTGGGTGTCTCCAGGGCTGCACCCAGAGGCGTTGAGCATGGCCAGAGCTGGGGCAGTAATTAATCGTGTTTACATGTCGTTAACCATGAGGCAGAGTTCTGTCCCATCTGCAGCCCTGATGCACTGGGGGCTGTGGAACAACCTGCTCTCCCCAGTGAGATTTTTTTTTTTTTTAAATAAAAGCCTGAAAAATCATTAATAAAATACTCTCCTGAATAAACATTTTCACTGTTGTTTATTTTGGGTAGCAGTAATACTATTTACAAATTTGTTTTCTGTCAGGCTGACAGACCCTGATCAGGAGTACATGTAACACTGGTTTGTCACTCCTGCCTGCAGCCAGAGTCTCCTCTTTGATTTTTTTTCAGTACATCAGTGGATGTAGGAATGTAAATAGGGAGATCTTCATTATTCTAATTTCTATTAGGAACTAAAGAAATTAATCAACTGCCCCTTCCCTTCTCCCCTCTGTGCTTTCAGCTGGAGCATTAAACAGGCACTGTGAGCCGCAGGAGCAGCAGCACGGGGGTGTTTGTCAGAATGTGTAAATACGAGGGTGACACCGTGTCCGTCCCAGGCGCCTGGGCATCTCACCCTGGAAAAGCCGCTTTGCCTCCTGCTTCCCCCGCAGGCTCCAGCACCGTGCTGTTCCCCACCACGCTCCTCCAAAGCAGGAGAACCCAGCCCGTTTTTCCATTGTTCTGTTTGCAAATACATCTTTACAGGTGTGTTTTCTTTCTGGCTGCAGGTGGCTTTTAAAGGGTGACTGGGGCTTTTTTACCTGCCCGGATCAGAATTGGTGGTTGTCTGGATTACAAGCGCCTGCAGGAGGAGGGTGGTGCGTGCTGCACGTACATCCAGATTGCCAAAACACCCCCAGACATTACAGACGCTGCCGTTCTGCAGATTTTTCATTTGTTGGGGCAAATCTTATGACTTGACCTGGTTCATCTCTGTCCGACTGCCAGGTTATGTGCCCCAGCCAAGAACAATAAACACCTTTTTTTTCCTCCCCTGCCCTTTTCCAGCAAAACTAAGGACCTGCAGCCACTGCTAACAGTCCCTGAAAGCAGTTCTGGGGCAGCCTAACCCAAGCACGCACACACACAGGCTTGTCTTAACAGGTTTATTTCCTTACCAAAACAAGGTGTATCAGGGCTTCAAAAGGAGTAACGGATTTACAGCACGTATAAAGGGTGATGACGATGACACAAGGGCCTGGGGCAGCTCTTCAAGATCACTCAAAGCCACTGCAAGAAGATGTTTTGATAAGGTCAGGACAACACGCAACTTCTGCACTAAAACTGGCGTTTTTTGCTTCATTGGGTGCTGCCCGTCAGTGACATCGGTCCCCAGGAAGCACCAAGGCAGCAAAGCAGACAGGACGTCACCAAAAGTAACGCCGTCAGGCTGCACGGGGAGCATGGCCAGCATGAGCCAGAGCCCGGAGCTGCTTCCCGTGGCGTGGCAGCCCGTGCTTCCTCCCCTGGCCACAGCCGCTCCCCCAGCTTCAAGAGTTTGGCTGTGACAGGGGAATGGAAGCGAAGCACGTGGCAGGGATGTTTTCCTGCAACAGCTGTGCATCACCCAGCCCTTCGATTTGCACCTTCGGGCTCTGCCCGGCAGCCAACGCACAGACCGGGAGCAATCCACGGCATTACCTGACGAGGTGCGCTATGTCCCAGTTGGCTTCCAGCGTCAGGGGCCCTTCCACCTCCACGCCTTTCTCTGTTGCAATCGCTACTTCATACTGAGGAGAGAAAACACGAGCAGCTCTCAGTAAAGCCCGGCCCTGGGAAAGTTCTAATCAGGAAGAGCCAGTAATAAGTTCTTCTCAAAATGAGTTTGTTTTAACACAGCTTTATAACAGGAACATTTGACTTTTTCCCCCAGTGGGCAGGTCACAAGACAGTAGCAGTAAACAGAAACATTTGCAAAGTGAAAAGGCTGCAGCCTCTGGATGCCAGTGCTGCAGGGAGGGCAGGAGGATCCTCGGATCTAAGGAAACCCCAGAGACGAGCATCGCTCCAACTCCAACAGCTCTCCTGGGGCTGCCACGCGCAAGGGGAGACCGGAGGGCAGCTTTGCTAAAGGATCTCAAACACAGCCCAGCCGCCAGCTCAGAGGTACTGCCAGGTTTCCCCGGGTCAGAGACAGCAGATGAGCCGGGGTGAACGCCGGGACGTCGCCAGAGCCGGACACTTACCCTGTTGAATGACCGAGCATCTCTGTAATACAAAATCTTCATGCACCGCTCAATCAAGTCACGGGCCTCCTCCTTCGTCAGGCTGGGTTTCTTCTCCAAGACTTCTCTCATCAATGGCTGGGGAGAGAAAAAAAATAAAACCCAACAGCTCAATGGCTCGGTCACCCAGTGCTGAGGTTGTTCAGCAGCTGATCAAGAGCATACTCTACCTGAGCTAGGTACGCTCCGTAACCTGTAGCGAGTGTAGGGGCTTCGTAGGCCACGCCGAGCATGTCCACGTATCCTAGGAAGCTGAAGGGACAGATCTGTGAGCGTGGCGGGGAGGGACTCGGCTTTGGTGCTGCTACACCCAGCCAGAGACCTCTCTGAATCCCGCACCGCAAGCGGTAACCGTCACATGCTCCACATTGCCCATCCTCGCTCACCTCTCACCGTTGTAGTAGCCACCGATGACGACGGTGTTCCAGAGCGGGTTTATCTTGGACCTCCGGTTGTACATGACTCGTGTCAGCCAGGAGTGGATGGCTTTTGGACTGTAACTGTGACCATCTCCCAGCAGCTCCTCGTCGATTCTAATTTAGACAGAAATTTCACCCAACTAAGAAAAGCGGGAAACCACTCGGAGGGAGGAGAGAGCAGCAGCTGCATGGCCAGCAGGACAGAGCACCCTCCCGCAAATCCTCACAGGCTGTTACCAAACGAAACCTTACAAGCGGTGAAATAGAATAACTGAAACGGGTTCTGCACGGTGCTCAGCAAAGAATCTGCGGAAAACACTCATGCTGAAGGGACCGTCAGTGAACAAGGAGGGGTTTGTCCTGCCCAGCGGACGCGTGCCATCACATCTCGGAGCAGCACGGCGAGGGACGCAGCCGCGGCAGCCCGGGACGGGGGAACTTACACCATCTGGTCGATGATCTGCTTGAGGTACTGGAAGTCGGCGTAGTCGCCGGACGCCCCCAGCATGGTGGTGTCGTTCGGGGAGATGCGGCGGAGCGGGGCGGGGGAGCCGTAGGAGCCCATCATGTCCGCGGCGATGATCACCCCCCCGTCGAACTTCACTCCCAGCACCGAGGTGCCGGTCACCATCGGGCTCCTGCGGACCCAACGTCAGTGCGGCCGGGAGGCCCAGGGCCTGGGGGGGGC